AATAATTATACACCATGTATTATATCACATACTAGATATATAAATATTACACTCATAAATATATATATATATATATATATTACAAAGTATCTACTAATTACAATAATTATATATATCTATACACATACATACTTAGTTAATTTACTTAGTAAATTTATGTACATATACTATACGCACATAATTATATATGTACTAAAAATGTTATAAAATACATTTTATATTCAAATGTATATAAAATCATACGGTCCAAAAATAATTATTTTGTAGTTCAAATTAATACATAACTACTTATAACAAAAATATTATTTTTATTTATAACGACAAATATAATAGAGATGAGATTCTCTAATGGCTCAATCAAAATGGCTCGATCAGAAAGAAGTAATAATTTTGAAATGTAAGACTTTCTAATTTTAGGAAGGCTAGAAAAGCCGAGTATCACACCTGGGCCCACGTCCCGTTCTCAAAAGGGTACTATCAATTGTGTTAGTTGTTAAAGTTATAGTTGAACCCTACGATTCAACCAACTGTGAAGGGTCGACACAAAGAATCGTGCAGACCAAGAAGTCGAGTTAAGAACTCGTGCTACGGACTTACAAGGGCCTCAAGACAAACACCAAGGATGGGCCGAGTTTTCCACAACCATGGTTATCGTTCGAGTATTCAAAGGGCCCCCTTACGAAGCTTTGTAAAAAACAAGACTGCCGAAACCTGTGGTGCAAGCCTATTCCAGTCCTTAGCCCTTTTGTTTACCTCACTAAAGATCCCTGAATCCGTATAGAATAAATGAGACATCTTTTCGTCTAAGAAGAACGAAAGAAGACAATTAAATACTAAGAAACATTCCTTATTGTAGATCTCGTGCGTCCATTCTAGAATCATACATTTAAGAGAAGTGTAAGGAACACTTTGTTATCAAGACCTTGATGACTTTAAAGATCAACAAGGAAATAGAACAACTCATACGGATCACCAAGTCATCCCGTAATGAGAGTCAATAAATGAGTGCGTTCCAAGAAAGAGAAAAGGGTTTCAAGTGCTCTCAATACTAAAAATATAACCAAAAGGGCGCAACAAACCAAATCTCATAGAGGACATGAAGTCTTGCTAAGAATTTCATCCACCATAGAAGAGATGGAATTCAATAAAACAGGGAAGTCAACCCGAAGTTCCTTGATCCTTAGAAAACCTTAGCAAGAATCGAGAGTCAAGACCTAAGGCTTGGCCTTGCTAACCGACTTGGTCCAGAATTTTGAGCATTCTGGGGGAATATGCGCGGAATTCATCACGAGAATTCCTTCAAAACTCGTAAAGATGGATGAGGCTTCAGCTTGGGAAGAAAAGATCAACGAAAAGCCTAGAGTCAATCGGTACCAAAGCTAAAGAGAGAGGATCATCAATTCGTCATTACGTCGGAATCAAAGCTTCAAGCCAGAATGATCACTCAAAGTTGAGAATCCTTAACCCTATTCTAGCCGAATTCTTCCCCTCCTTTGTCATTCAAATGCCACTTTGTTGAAGAAAACCCTTTCTACCCTTCCAAACTCATACTTGATTCCATATTTCAAATGATTCCATACAAGGTAGCAACCTTATTACCTAAATTGCAACTTTGAAAACTTTGGTCCTATTCCTAATTAACCTTGCCCTCGAGTTTGAAACCTAAATCCTTCGCTCTCTTTATCCTTTTAAACCCCATCCTTCCCAAGACCTAGTGTACGTAGGTGTATATTTACGTATTCTCCCCCGTAAAATGTGTCCTCATGAACTACCGTACTAATTTTGACTCGTTATTCCCAAAATGATTTCTAAAGCTTCGGGGACGAAGCTTCCTGTAAAGGGGGAGGGTGTAACACCCCGTGTTACGGCCTTTAATCCTGGATTAATTATTTCATTAATTCCATTAATAATAATTAAAATGGATTTAATTTGGTTAGGATTCCCTTTAATTAATTAATGTGGTCCACCATGGATCGTGGACCATTGCCTAAACTAGAGTCTTAAGCCTATTAGGAATAAAGAGAGTGTGTGACACCCCAAAAATCCACATTCAATCCATGAATTAATAGAGTAATTAATCCTATCTCAATTGAGGAATTGATTCCTAAAATCCTGATTTTTAATACTTGAGGAATAGTATTTGACTAGTCAACTTCAAACTCATGTTGTACCTTGAGCTTTGAAGAGAGTTCCCTTGTTCCTTACACTTTCTGGTAAGGGTATTCTTGACTAGTAAGGGTATTCTTGACCTTTCACCAAGTGTTAGTATTGTAACCTAACCTAGAAGGCATCTTCACTTCATCCATTACACTTTCTAAAATATTAGCTCTACCTTCTCTCTAGAAAGGTGAGTAGCTTTTTCTCCAAGCTAAGTTGAGACCTTGCCAAGATTCCAAGATTTGCTTCCAAGATTCAACCTTTCACCTATTTGCGCATCTAGGAGGGTAAGATCAAAGTCCATCTTGTGTTTTTTGTTCCATCTTAGATGTCTTTTTCTTAAAAGTAGGATCTTTATAATCTTTTGGTTTGTTCTTGAAGTGGGTTTGGAAAGTAAGCCTTGTGGGGAGCTTGTTGAAGTGTAAGTGAAGTCTTTTGGTCTACAAGAGGTAACCCATGCTCTACTAAAACCTATTTTTCTTACCTATATGTGATTCCTTGGATTCTACATGTTTTTGCTATGAAATGTGAGTGTTTATGCATTTGTCTTGTGAAAATGCATATCTAGAGCTTGTGTTTAGGGTTCTTGTGTGCCATTGCTTGGCATTTCCTTTGATTCATGTCACTTTGTTGTATTTGGTGAGATTTGGCATGTCTTGGACTTGAATTTTAGTTTGGAGTTGAAATTTCGTGAAGTGTATTGAAGTGGTACAGGTTGTACCCGCGGGTAGGAGGCCCACTCGCGGGGTACATGGTTTGGGAGACCTGTACCCGCGGGCGAAACCGCGGGTAGGGGCCTACTCGTGGGCCTACCCGCGGGTACGTATTGTGTTGTAGTTGGGGATTTGTTCCCCGTGATTCTTTTGACTCGGTATTTGGTCTTTTGACTTCCCGATATTCTTTCGTGGAACTATTTGAGTGTCTCCTTGATGTTTCGTATATCTAGAACTATATGGTAGGTATCCATGTAGGACTTTGGTGTCTTGAATCGTGCTAAGTGTTCAACATTGTGTTTCGTTGGACCGTGAAGTGCCTTGTGTGTTCCTTGGAACTATCTTTGGTTTCCCCGTTGATAAGCATGCTAGTTTGGTATCTAAATGCTAGCGTGTGTGTGGTTTGTACCTTCCGTTTGGTTGATGATAACTTGCGTTATTCATCGTTGTTGTTGTTAGGTTGTGACCCATTCCGTGATTGAGTGTGTTTCATACCTTCGTTGTGATCCGTTGATTGATTCCTGTTGAGGTGTGATGTGTGAGTGGCTTTACCTGGATTGCACGATTAGTGGTATGGGACACTAGTCACCAAGGTATTGCAGCGGTCCTCGTGGTGGCCGTGACGTGAATATGGAGTTGTGACCTGTGTGTCAGGTTCACGTATTTCTTGGGAAGGCGTGTGTCGCCGTGTGTGTGTACGGTACCTTGTGTACTATGAAATCGGTGGCTTTGTTGGAGGTCTGTTGGAGGGGGAATGACGGTTCCCGGGGGAATAAGGTTGGACTTGGTGTACAGGGGTCCTGGAGGTAAAGGTAGGAACTAGATATAAGGTTGGGGGTAGCCATAAGGTTGGAACAGGGCATAAGGAAGGCATATAAACTCGTGATGTGTGATGTCACGAGGGCTTGTGTAGCCGTGGTTATGTGTTTTCTCTTGTGACGTGTGTAGTCACAAAGGCATGTGTTGCCTAGGCATGTGTTGCCATTTGTCGTGTCTTTATCCTTCAGTTGTTGATGTTATCCTTTGTGGTCTTGGGATGTGTTCCCGTGTTATCCTTGAAGAGCGATGAGTCTTGAGTTGGTGTTTACTCTTGGCTTTACACTTATATATACGTATTCCATTTTGAAAATGGCTTTGTATATATCCTATCTATGTATGTTACTTAACAGGTATTGGTGGGTTACCAGCATTATCGCTGACCGGGCGTCGTCCCATGTTTATCTTTGTGTTCTTTCAGGTGATGTCTAGACGAGCGTGATGTCTAGTGGCCGGTAGTTTAGTGTCTTTTCCTTGTTTTGTGGCCTGTGAGCCGATGTAGTGATAGACTTATGACTTTGGGATAGTTGTGTACACAATGCAGATTTGACCGCTGTAGCGTTTACGATTGTTGATAAATGTGGCATAACACCCCGTTTTGGATTTGTTTTATCCAGCCACCTTTTTATCTTCCGTTGTGCTAATGTTTTGTTGTGATATCTGCATTGTGTTAAGATCTTTTATTTAGCATGTTTTGGGGGGTGTTACAGTTGGTATCAGAGCCTAGGTTTGAGCCTAGGAAGAGTTAAGTCTAGACTTTCTAAGTGGTTAAGTGTGGTTTGAGACCTCTAAGCGACCTTAAGAAGCTAAGTGTTAGGCTTAGGACTCTAGGTTGCGTGGTGAGCTGTGTGTTGCTTTCTGATCTTTGTTTGTTTGCTATCTTTTCGTAACCGTGCTGTTGTTGTAGAAGTTGCGATGCCTCCTCGTCCTCGAGCACGCACCCCGGAGACCCCGACCAACGAGTAGCTCGCTCAGAATCTTCACCAGCTAACTCAGACCATGCAGACGCTCAGTGAAGCTTTGTTGAACAACAATCACGCTGTGCCACCTCCTCCCCCTGCTGGGCACCGTGATGTAGGACGTTTAGTGTCGGGACATCGGCCGCCAACCTTTGCTGGCGAGGAAGACCCGGTAGTCTTAGAAGAGTGGCTACGGGTGTTTGACAAGATCTTCACCGTTGTAGGCTGCCCCGAAGAGAGGAGAGTGGAGTTGGCAACGTTTTACTTTTGCCAAGAAGCGGATTTGTAGTGGGTTCACGAAGGCCCGGCTCTTCTTGAAGAACCAGAGTTCGACTGGACCGTGCTCAAGGGCAGAATGCGCAAGAGGTTCTACCCAGCACATGTGCGCGCTGCCATGTATGAGGAGTTCATCCACCTGCAGCAAGGCTCCATGTCTGTGGTTGAATACCACAAGAGGTTCTTGGAGTTGGCACATTTTGCGAGGATACTTGTGCCGACAGAACTCGCTAAAGTCAAGAAATTCGTGGCCGGTCTAAACTATGAGGCGCGAAAAGCTTTGACTGTGAGTAGGCCAAGTTCTCTTAAGGACGCTTACGTGTGTGCCGCCGATCTATTTCGCGTGCAGCAGCTTCAGAGAGGATCGTACGAGCAAGCTAGGAAGAGGACTGAGGGCGGAGGTTCTTCTACCTTCAAGAAGCCGAGACCGAGTTTCCCGGCCAAGCAGGTGTCATCTTCATCTCAAGGACATAACAGAACAGAGCACGGGAACCAAGCCAAGGCATCCCTTTGTCAGCGTTGTGGGAGGATGCATGTGGGTCAAAGTTGTAATGGCTATGCGCTCAAGTGTTTTCGATGTGGAGATCGAGGTCACAAAGTCGCGGAGTGCCCCAGCCAGCCGGTCAGAGAACGTTGCCACCACCCCCGGGAGCCGGAGGAGCATCGAGAGTTGGTTCGGGCCGTGGAACAGTTAGAGCTAGACCAGCTGGAAGGGTCTTCGTGATGGCACGTTCGCAGGCTGAGTCGGAGGGCTTGATGGATGAAGAGTTGGCAGGTAACCCTTTCTTTTAGCCTATCATTGTTTCCCCACGATCATCGTGTTCTTTGTTGTCTTGAGTGTTATCTTGTGTTTCGTAGTTGCCTTTTGCTTGGCAATCCTTGGCATGCTTTTCCTTGGTAATAATTCTTTGTTGTCTTGAGTGTTATCTTGTGTTTCGTAGTTGCCTTTTGCTTGGCAATCCTTGGCATGCTTTTCCTTGGTAATAAAACTCTTCTTGCTAAGTGACTCCTTTAGTTGGTACACAAGTCTAGTTGTGAAGTTTGTTATCTATCTTTGAGATGTTTTGTTCTTGGACCAATTCTACAATCCTTACACTTGGTTGTTCTTACAACAATTCCTTGTGAACCTCCTAAATTTTCCAAGTATTCTTCGAAATTGGAAGTAGCAAAATTCTTGCCAAAATTCATTCTTGTGCATCTTAAAAGTCAAGCCTAATGCTTAATTGTAACCGTTGAGTTTCAAACTCGAGACTATTCTTTGTCAACCCAACCTCTAAACCACTTGAGCTAATTGTCTTCCTTAGAACTTACCCAATTTTAATTCCATCTAAACCATCAATTCCCACTTTACCCAAAATCCCCAAATTAAATCATCTTTTTCCCCAATTTCTCCCAAATCCCTAAAATTCCCTTTCTCTTCTTTTTCTCTTCTCTACCCGTGAGCACCCCTAAACCCCATCCCCAACCGGTAGCTCCACCACCACCAACCCGTCGCCCCACCACCGCCTCGCCGTTCGCCGGAACCGCCGCCGACCTGTTGTGCGTTGCGTCGCCGAGAGCAACCGCGAGAGAGAGAGAGAGCTCGAGAGAGAGAGAGAGAGAGAGGCAGCGTGAGTGTGGAGGAAGAAGAAGGAGTTGTGGGCACCTTTTTGTTGAGCTTTGGGTCATCTCCTACCATGCCTAGAAGATCAAGCTTGGCTAGAAAAGCGGAATAGGTGAATACTCACTACCTTGTTCTTGAAGGTAAAGTTTTTGATCCGGAATCTTTTTCTAGTTCCTTGTTGGATATGCTTAGATTCCAGGGCTTGTTGGATGGGTTTCTCGCCATAAGGGCCGAGACTTACCCGAGTTTGGTTAAAGAGTTTTATCGTCACATGATTGTGACAAAGGAGGGTGATAAGCTTGAGATCACTTCTAAAGTGAGAGGTGTGAAGGTTGTGCTTTCTGAAAAGAGGCTGGCTCAGCTTTTGAGTTTGTCTGCTACCTGAGTGGCTCAGTACAGTGGTCATTCTTGGATTAGTATGGATACCATGGGGTACCGTGACTACTTGAGCTACTTGTTTGGCCGTATGAGTGGTTTCACTCAAGCCTCTAGGCCGGAGAAGAAGTGGTTGACTGCGGAGCAAAGGATCTTGGTCATTTTGGTGTCGGACTATTTGTTACCGAACAATAACAAGAGCAAGTTGTTGGGTAAGTTGGAGTGCACTTTTGCTTTTTATCTGAAAGAACATGGTTAAGTTCAACTTGCCTTCTTTGATGTTGCAACACATGGTGTTTTGCCGGGATCACAATCGGAAGAGCTTACCATACGGGATGGTGTTGAGTTGGATCTTGGTCAGGAAAAGGTGTCAGTGTGGATGGTTGCCTTCCTAAGGCTGTGGGAAAGCTAGTGTTGGATGCCACCAACCTTCGGAGTTGTAACCTGTTTCAGATGGATGATGGTGAGTACATCACGCTTGAGGAAGTGTCAAGGAAAGCACCCGAATAAAGGGCCGAGTTGACAGCTGAGCTTGGCATCCATGCCGGGAAGTTGAGCCTCGCTGTTCAGAGCTTGGGAGTTGTCGAGGAAGCCGAAGATGAAACCGATCATGAGGTTGAGGTGGGGCGCCAGAAGCCGTAGAAGCTGAAGAAAGTGACTCGGAGAGTGAGGAGAACCGACGAAGAAGAAAAGCCCACACCAAGAGGGAGCACGACCCCACGTCGCACGACGAGCGTGTTGTTGCCTTGCTTCGTCAGCAGAACCGCCATGATCGAGGAGGGCTTTGAGTACGTGAAGACGCAGTTCGTCGCTGTGCACCACCAGTTAGACCAGATCGAAGCCAGCTCGAGTCTTAGAGGAGAAGACGAGGAAGAGTCCGAGGAGTCAGAGAGCGAGTCTTTCTAGTAGTGGTGGTTTCTTTGTTCGCCTTCTTCCTTGTGGTTGCTTTTCTTTGGCCGTTGTTGCCGTTGTTTAGTTGCTTGTTGTTGCTTTTATGCTTGCTTTGCTTGTAGTCTTGTGGCTTAGTTAGCTTCGTAGTAGTAGTGGTGTTACGGTTTGGTTGTTTTGTTCTTAGTGCTTGGCTAAAAGTTGATGTTGGTGTTAAGACTAGAGTTTGTGATGCTCAATTTACTCCTTTGTTAAACTCTTGACAATTCTTGATTTGATATGCCATCTTTCTTGTTGGACATTCTTGTGAAATCTTTTGAGTTTTGACCAAAAGAATTCGTTCTTGAATCTCTTGTCACAATGTTGTTTCCTACCACCGTTTGTTTCTAATTCGTCGTACCCAAGCTTCGAGGACGAAGCTTCTTTGAAGGGGGGAGAGGATGTGACACCCCAAAAATCCACATTCAATCTATGGATTAATTGAGTAATTAATCCTATCTCAATTGAGGAATTGATTCCTAAAATCCTGATTTTTAATACTTGAGGACTAGTATTTGACTAGTCAACTTCAAAGTCATGTTGTACCTTGAGCTTTGAAGAGAGTTCCCTTGTTCCTTACACTTTCTAAATGTTAGTAAGGGTATTCTTGACCTTTCACCAAGTGTTAGTATTGTAACCTAACCTAGAAGACATCTTCATCTCATCCCTTACACTTTCTAAAATATTAGCTCTACCTTCTCTCTAGAAAGGTGAGTAGCTTTTTCTCCAAGCTAAGTTGAGACCTTGCCAAGATTCCAAGATTTGCTTCCAAGATTCAACCTTTCACCTATTTGGGCATCTAGGAGGGTAAGATCTAGGTCCATCTTGTGTTTTTGGTTCCATCTTAGATGTCTTTTTCTTAAAAGTAGGATCTTTATGATCTTTTGGTTTGTTCTTGAAGTGGGTTTGGAAAGTAAGCCTTGAGGGGAGCTTGTTAAGGTGTAAGTGAAGCCTTTTGGTCTACAAGAGGTAACCCATGCTCTACTAAAACCTATTTTGCTTACCTATATGTGATTCCTTGGATTCTACATGTGTTTTGCTATGAAATGTGAGTGTTTTATGCATTTGTATTGTGAAAATGCATATCTAGAGCTTGTGTTTAGGTTCTTTCTGTGCCATTGCTTGGCATTTCCTTTGATTCAAGTCACTTAGTTGTATTTGGTGAGATTTGGCATGTCTTGGACTTGAATTTTAGTTTGGAGTTGAAATTTCGTGAAGTGTATTGAAGTGGTACAGGTTGTAACCCGCGAGCGGAACGGCGGGTAGGAGGCCCACCCGCCGCCACCCGCGGGTACATGGTTTGGGAGACCTGTACCCGCGGGCGGAACCGCGGGTAAGGGGACCTAACCGTGGGCCTACCCGCGGTTACGTATTGTGGTGTTGTTGGGGATTTGTTCCCCGTTGATTCTTTTGACTCGGTATTTGGTCTTTTGACTTCCCGATATTCTTTCGTGGAACTATTTGAGTGTCTCCTTGATGTTTCGTATGTCTAGAACTATATGGTAGGTATCCATGTAGGACTTTGGTGTCTTGAATCGTGCTAAGTGTTCAACATTGTGTTTCGTTGGGACCGTAACGTGCCTTGTGTGTTCCTCGGAACTATCTTTGGTTTCCCCGTTGATAAGCATGCTAGTTTTGGTATCTAAATGCTAGCGTGTGTGTGGTTTGTACCTTCCGTTTGGTTGATGATAACTAGTCTTATTCATTGTTGTTGTTGTTGGGCTGTGATCATTCCTTGATTGAGTGTGTTTCATACCTTCGTTGTGATCCGTTGATTGATTCCTGTTGAGGTGTGATGTGTGAGTGGCTTTACTTGGATTGCACGATTAGTGGTATGGGACACTAGTCACCAAGGTATTGCAGCGGTCCTCGTGGTGGCCGTGACGTGAATATGGGAGTTGTGACCTATGTGTCAGGTTCACGTATTTCTTGGGAAGGCGTGTGTCGCCGTGGTGTGTGTACGGTACCTTGTGTACTATGAAATCGGTGGCTTTGTTGGAGGTCTGTTGGAGGGGAACGACGGTTCCCGGGGGGAATAAGGTTGGACTTGGTGTACAGGGGTCCTGGGGTCGTGATGTGTGATGTCACGAGGGCTTATGTAGCCGTGGTTATGTGTTTTCTCTTGTGACGTGTGTAGTCACAAAGGCATGTGTTGCTAGGCATGTGTTGCATTTGTCGTGTCTTTATCCTTCAGTTGTTGATGTTGTCCTTTGTGGTCTTGGGATGTGTTCCCGTGTTATCCTTGAAGAGCGATGAGTCTTGAGTTGGTGTTTACTCTTGGTTTTACACTTATATATACGTATTCCGTTTTCGAAAATGGCTTTGTATATATCCTATCTATGTATGTTACTAACAGGTATTGGTGGGTTACCAACATTATCGTTCACCGGGCGTCGTCCCATGTTTATCTTTGTGTTTCTTTCAGGTGATGTCTAGACGAGCGCGATGTCTAGTGGCCGGTAGTTTAGTGCCTTTTCCTTGTTTTGTGGCCTGTGAGCTGATGTAGTGATAGACTTATGACTTTGGGATAGTTGTGAACACAATGCAGATTTGACCGCCATAGCATTTACCATTGTTGGTAAACGTGGCATAACACCCGTTTTGGATTTGTTTTATCCAGTCACCTTTTTATCTTCCACTGTGCTAATGTTTTGTTGTGATATCTGCATGTGTTAAGATCTTTTATTTAGCATGTTTTGGGGGGTTTTACAGAGTGGACCTTCCAATATTCAGATTCTAATTAGGAATCCTAGACCTATTAGGAATAAAGATAGTAGGCCTTTACTACTCAGATTCTAATTAGGAATCTTAGACTTATA